ATTTATTTAAGAAGTAAAAAAACAAGGATGGTTTTATGATTTTGTTAGTACACTAGTTTTTTTAAAAACTTGTATAATCAAATATAAGAATTTTCATGGAAACTTAATCAGTGATTCATTAGTGTGATAATTCTTACAACAGAAGCATGAAAAGACATAACACATTAGAATTGAACTTGGTTTTGTTTATTTGAATGCTTTGCTTTCACATATTGATGACATTCAAATATAATTACATAAAATAGATGGGGGAAAATAGATTGATTTAGTTAGTCAATTACTAAATTTAACTGGTTGCAGGGTGCAGCTATGGGTTGTAAGGTGTAGAAATTCAGTCAGACTGTTTCTCATGTTCCCTTTCTATCATTTCAAAAGATGTACCAAAAGATAGAAGTTTAAACTCTTTGATTCCTAAATTATTTATTTTTACCCAATCTTACTAAAAGCTTTGTTGAAAAAAAAGGTCATTAATAAGAAGCTTAGAGCAAGAATATGTTAAATAACTCACAGTATTGTACCTCATTTAAATAGTTCTTCCTCCACTAGTAGTATATTTTTCCTGCAAGACCAATAGATTTCATTCCTATCTCTAGATTATATGTTTGATGAGTTTCCTATATACAATATTGACTGTAACACAAGTATAAAGGATATAAACCCTGAAAGTTAATGGTGCATCACTTGTACAGATCTAATTTTAAGGATTAATTAACTCTTCTAATTTTCAAGACTTAGTTCACTAAACTCTCTGGACCTCAGTTTTCTCATCTTAAAGATGATATAAATATATTATTTTCCTAAGAAATGGAGTTATTACACAAATGACATCATAAAACACATGTGTAAATATTCTGGAAATAAAAAAAAAGATGAATTTAAAATTCTTTAAATGATTACTCAAAATAATTTTGATTTTTAAAAATAATCATACTGTCATTAACATATAGAAATAAATTTCTATAGGTTATTGAGAAAATATTTAATTTTTAGTCCAACAGTTCCAGTGATATAATTTTATATGTGGTTGTTATTTCATTTTTGAACAATCCAAAGTACGTACAACTAAATTTTCCAGGTAAGAGTAAATTGGAAGCAGGGAAAAAAAAAAAAGTTAGAAAAGTTAGCTTTCGTAGTTATTATGGCTTAACCTCATGGTATATGTGAAAGTTATTGTTGTTAACTGCCTTCAAGTTGACTCCAACTCATGGCGACCTTATGTAACATAGAATGAAACGTTGCCCAGACCTGCTTCATCTTCACAAGCCAGCATGTTCAGTCCACCCTTGCAGCTATTGTGCCAATTTGTCTCACCTAGGGTCCCCCATGTCCTACTTGGACGTCTACTTTGCCAAACATGATCCTCTAAGGTTTGATCTCTCCTGATGACATGTCCAAAGCAAGCAAGTCAAAAAATGTTCTGTTGTGGTAATAAGGTTTTCATTAGCTGAATTTTTGGAGTAGATAACCAGGCCTTTCTTCCTAGTCTGTTTTAGTCTGGAAGCTCAGCTGAAACCTGCTCACCATGTGTGACCCTGCTGGTATTTGAAATTCCCACATCACAGCAACACACAAAACACCACAGTACAGCAAACTGGGAGACAAGCAGTTGAGATGTAAAAGTATAAGTGTTTAAATACATTCTTAAGCTGAAATTAAAATTTAGAAAACATAACTTCAAAAAGACAGCTTAATTAAATATTTACAACAAACCTATTTGTTGCCCATATCTCCCCTCTACAATGACAAAAATATATTCTTCATAAAAATAACCTTTAATAACTGTCAAAAATTTCAATTATAAGTTGAAAAAAGGTATAATATAGTTTCTCTTGAAAAGAAGTAGGAACTATCTTAGTAGCAATTGTCCTTTACTGTAAGATACTTTACAAGTATAATTTTTCGAAGAGCTTTTTCTAAAGGATGAAAATGAAGCAGATCAATATACAGATTTAATGCTTAAAAGGTCACAAATAAAATATTTATCATTTAAAAGCTAACTAGCCAAACCTAAATCATGTTAAAAAATGATGATATTCTCAAGAGAATAATCACTGCTTAAAAGAGATATTCTTCCTCCTCAGATTCCTAACGAGAAGAGAGATGTTTACAGCCTAGTTTATCTTTAGATAGTCTTTGGTTTTTTTTTTCTGTCTAAATTCATTTCTATTGAATTTTGTAATAATAGTAATAATAATAATAATGTCAACATTTGTTAAATTTTTACTATATACTGAGCAATATGTGCGAGTGGTGTTACTTACACAACCATATTTAATATTCACAATAAGTCCATGACCTACGTTGGTGGTAGGGTCACTATGCGTTGGAGTTGACTTGGAAGCATACAACAACAGCAACAACAAAAACATTGTTATCATAACTGTTTTCATTTTAACAATAAGAAATCTCAGGCTTAGGGAAGTTAGGTGACTCCTCCAAGACATACAGCAGTGACTAATGCAACCAAGACTTGTCCGACTCCAGATGCGGTGCATTTAAGTACAAAACAAGGTTTTTCATACTTAGAACAGGTAAATGCGAGTTTATATGATGGACAAGATATATTATCATTGATCTGAGGAAATTATTGCCTAGAACTGTGTCTGCCATGTCAGAGGAATCTAACTGAAGTGGGACAGGAGTGGCCAGTTCAAACCACTGGAGCAATCCAATCTTTATATCCACCGAGGGCGAAAGCCCAGTTGGTCATGGATTTTTTTCACTTCTCTTTTCTTAGTTTTGGTTGAATCATGTGCAGTATATCCCAAATAATTACCTATGAAATTTGAAGAAAAACATTAGGTTTATTAATCCAAGATGTTTCATAGGTAAGTTGCCTTCGTTATATTGTAATAATGTATTCAAACGAGAGACTCATGATATTTGCAAAAGGATAATGGAAGACAATATGAAATGATGTTTTAAATTACTGATAGAAATACTAGTTTACTTTTTATATTATTTTTAGAGCATGGAACACTAGATCTTTTTTAAATCTAGTGTATAGATATGTCTTTGAAAATTGACAAATAATATTTGGGGTCTGATTCTCCATTTGTTGATTGAGATTGTGAGAAAAAAACAAAACAAAACAAATTTCCCATGGCTGATAAATATTTTCCTTCCTCCAATCTTTCCTCAAAGCAGGTTTATGTGATATGAAAACAGTTCTGTGGAAACCAGCAGTTTCTCTGGATATTACCTAAACAATTTTCCTAAATTATCACCATCTATGAAGCATGTTAAAATTTGATAGGGAAAACAGATTCTAAAGTGGCGTAAACAATTGTATTTCCTCCAACACTACCGTATGTTTATTATCTATTTCTCTCTCCCTTAACAAAACATATTATAATCAAAATTATACTTTGTTTGGTTATGTGAATTCCAAGCTTTGTTTATTTGGTACTTAAGGAACGCTCAATAGCAACATCATGGAGACACTCCACAATTTCCTAGCACAGGTGAGCCGCAAATTTGCCCGTTTAATGATGTGCCAGTCCACCATGCCACAACAGAATTTTTGTACTTAAACTATCTCCAAGCTTTTAGAGTGTTAAGAAATATAAATAGCTTTTCTATTTTCTGGGGGGGGGGGGAGCAAATAAATGTAGACATGAGACTCAGTCTACTAAAAAATAAAATTGGATTCATCCAAGTGTGGCATATTCAAGGATGACCTGTTAATGGTAGAATCGGAATGAGAAGTTACTCTGACCTCTTAAACAAAAATTTCCTTCTTTCATTATTAAAAATGGTTGACGTAATTTAAAAAATATGAGAACAACTTTGTTTTACATATTTTTTTTTCAGATGTAGTTTTTCTCAAAACCCAGATTGCTATCACTATTTGTATCTGTCACTTTTATTTCACACCAGTTACATATTGGATATGCCACTCTTATCCTGAGTAATAAATATATTTTTCATTAAAAAGGGTAATTACAGTTAAAAAATGTTATTTAAGCAAATTCTTAACATGAAAGTATTATAAAACATTATAAACAGTGCTATGGCCATTGTTCTCTACTGTAAGCCTTTTTTTCCTTCTAGATATTACAACATTGCCACTTGAATCTAGTTTCTGCATTATGCTTATTTTCCTATGTAAATTGCTATAATTGTGTAGCTTACCTTCGTATTCAACCGCACACATACATAAAACACTTGATTCATGATCTTTGCTCTTGTTGTTCTTGACATTTCTACTCTGTGGTCAGCATACACTATCCTATTCTCTATCACTTCTTTCCTGCATACTTTTTGTTCGCTGTTTGGGATCTCCTGCAACACTGGACCACAAGCCAAGCAACAGTCGCTCCCATCTCCCCTACATTCTTAACGACACAACCTCAGAAAGGCCGTAAGAACCATGACTCTTTAAAAAATGTGACTCCTCTCATAGGATGTGTGAAAACGTTTCTCTGGAAAAATACAAGTAAACTCTTTATTCTAAAATGATGATTTTTAAAGCATTCATAGGCAAGTATTTTAAAATGTATTTCTTGTCAAAGCAAAGAGCTTGGAGCAATCCATTTGCAAGTTAAAGTCTTAAAACTATTTCCATCAGAAACGTTTATTTAACATTTCTCTGACAGCCATTTTGACTCTTCCTTTTAACAACGTGATGATGTATCAGTAGCTGGGACTTTCTGATAAAGTACGGTTGGGGATATGATAATGCTCATTCCCTCCGCTATAGGGAATCAAATGTACATTGGAAAGAAGAGTTACTTAGACTTTTTTCAAAGGAAAGTTTGTAAAAAGTATTTGAAATCATTGTTAACATGCGAGTTGATTAAAATACTGTTTGAAAACCCAAGGATAGATGCCACCAATCATGAAATTGAAGCCTGTCAGTAAAACTTCCACATTGTTCCTTCCTCTTAAGTTGAATTTTTACTTGGATAAAACTTATTTTTTTAAATAAATTTCTAATGTCTGTTTTCTCATTGAAAGTCAATTAATTTAATAAAGTTATTTTCTTTTATGTTTTTAAGACACACTTTTTAACGGTCTTGGGCTTGGAGCAGTGATTGGCCTGGGCGTTGCTGCACTATTTCTAATCCTCGTGGTAACAGATGTCAGCTGCTTCTTTATTCGACAATGCGGATTACTGATGTGCATCACCAGGAGAATGTGTGGGAAGAAAAGTGGTTCCAGCGGCAAAAATAAAGAACTCGAAGAAGGAAAGGCTGCGTACCTGTGAGTACCAGGCGTCCGTATTACATCATATGAAACAAGTTCCACAGTCAAGCTTGAGTGCTGGATTTTGGGGCTTTATTTCTCAATAGAGTTTCATTATAAGACCATTAGATAGACTGTTCTCCAAGTAATTTGTCTGTTAAAGTGTTATATTTCACACTTTTTTTTTCAACTAAATGTGGATTTGCTGGAATGTATGGTATGCATGCGTTCCTCCTTTAGAGATACTGCTTTATGGTGTACCAAAGTAATTATACCAGTTTTAATTTCCTCTACAGGATTTGGGAGTTTTGGTTGATCCAGATTCTTGCTAACACTCAGTGTTTTCCATATTTTTATTGTTATTAATCTTTCGGGTATGTAATGGTATCTCACTGTGATTTAAATTAACATTGGCCTGAAAACTAGTAAAGTTGAGCACTTTTTCATATGCTTTTGACCATTTAAATATACTCTTATTGAAGTCCCTGTTAAAGTATTTTACCCATTTTTCTATTGACTTGGCTTGTTTTTACTCAGTGATCTGTAGGTATTCTTTATAAACAATATACTCTGGATACATGACCTTGGTTAGAATATATATATACATAT